GGGGGGGAAGCCCCGTGATTGCCATTTTTACTGCACTTTAGCATTGCAGTCCAGTGGGCGTCCAGCCTCTGTGTCTCTCTGTCTCTGTGTGTGTGTGTGCGTGCGTGCGTGCGTGCGCGCGCGTGTGCGTGCACACATGAGTGTGCGCATGTCCGCGTGAGCGTGCGCGCACGCGAACGTGTAAGTGCATGCGCGTGCGCGTGCACATGTATGTGTATGTGTGTGCGTGAGCTTCCTTTGCACATAAAAGAGGGTCACTCCTATTCTGCAGGGGAGTCCAATGTCGCACGGTCCTGTCTTGGAGACCTGTGCCAACGAAGCTATTCCAACACAGGGATGGGTGGTCTGATCAACCACCTGTACCTGCGCAGTGATGAAGAACGTAAACAACGCGATTGTCCTCGTTGCTGTGTCTTGAACAGTTCGCAGCAGCCGAGGCTTGTGTGAAACAACGAACAACAACCCTGCCTCACCCCTCGTCTCTTCTTGCCTCTTGCTCTTGCCGAAATCCAACAAGTGTGGAACATAGGGTGCCGGAGACCCGTTAACAGCGGCTTTCCGTCATGGCGCCGTGGTGGCCCTGCGGGGTGGCTGTGGCCAGGACCTGATTCTTTGGGCTGATGGGTTGACACGCCCAAGCACCTATTCTATACCGGCTATCCGGAATTAAAACTGGCAGCGGCATGTGCGTTTTTGTGCATCTGACATGAGGGCATGTGCAGTAACTGTGCGTCTAGTGCAAAGGCAGGTGCGCAGGATTACCTCCATTCTGTCCTATTTTACCGCTTCTTTTCTCAGGGAATGCAAGATCATTTAACCTAACATGAGTGCAGGTGCAGTAATGTGTGTCTAGTGCTTTTTTGGAAGCACAGCATTTCGGCATTGCATCTTCTTTTCCCCCCAACAACCGTGGCAGCAGCAAAACAACAGCGGTCCCGCTGCCTTGTTTAAGTGCATGTGTGTCTAACATGAGTGCAGGTGCAGTAACTGTCGTCTAACGCAGCTTGAAGCCTGCCCCACATTTGTGCAGGGGAGTCCAATGTCGCACGGGGTGGGGGCTGGGGTTGGGGCTGGGGCTGAAGCTGGGGGTCGGGGTGGGGTGTGTGGGTGTGGGTGTGATGCCTGGACTGCTCTGGCATGGCGTGCAGCAACGATGTACTCGCCGTGTGATTGTTCTGTAACTCTATATTCAGGATGCTACTGTATGCTACTAGTAAAGACAGCCGGGCCGAAACATGGTAACGCGGCGTACCGCGATCGGGGGCCAGGCATACACTGAACTGTATGGGCAGTGTGCCCGGCATTTGTGCGTTCACATCTGTGTGCATGCGGCGCGGTTTCTCTCATATCGCTAATCGCTTGCTACTTGCCTGCCCCACAGCTACAAGTAACTAAAGCTGACTCAACTTGGCCACGAGTTTTCGTGACAATAAACCCTGCGCACGAAGATGTTTAGGCGATGAAACTAACTCCCCAATAATGCTGGTGTAGGTTTCTTGGCCGGCATCCTGAGAAGCGCTAAATCATTTGTCTGGTGGCTATTCAGAAAGGCGTGGGGGTGCATGCGAGGGAGTGCCGACGGAGGGCAGTGTGTGCCCAGGAGAGCGCGTCCCAACACGTTTGGAAGCATCGTGCTGCAAAGAAGCTGTATGTTCAGGCACCTTGCGTGTTTTTCAACACACATGAACTTGTTCAGTGGCAGTAGAGGCACAGTGGGGTGTGAGAACATGTCGCCGTGCCTTCACCGCATCATCTATTCAACTATTCATGCAGACATGTCAGGCTCAAGCCCGAAAGAATCTTTCAAGAGTCTTCGCTGTCTGAACGCCCCTCCACCCCGACCTGTTCTCCTGTATCCACGGGAGCCCTGTCTCCAAACTCCCCAGGGTTCAGCCGAACATCCACCCGCCAAGTGTCTAAGGAGTCTATACCGTTGAACATTAAAGAAACTCGCCTTCTCCATTTGCACTCGCAAGAGTGAATGGGCTGGGAGGTGCCTCTGCGTAACGCTCGGCCTGGGCCAGGAAGCTGCCTTCGGCTCTGAGCCTGGCGTCCACGGCATGCGAGCAGAGCACCAAAGGCCATGGCTTTCCCGAAGCCCCCAAAACCTGCGCGTGCCTCTTGCACTTCATTTCCACGTTCTCCAATTGCCCCTTTGCATGTTGTGGTGGCCTGGGGAGCTGCGGGCACAAGCCAACACGGAAATGAAGATTCTGCAAGGCCAGCGCCCTGAACATTCTGGCTGGATTTCCTCCTGGAGCTCATCCTCCCGCTGGAAAGCTGCAGCCAGCTCCTGAACATGTTTCAAGCAAGCTGATATAGTCATAAGATGTCACAAGACAGCAACAGCCAAAGCCTCGTGCAACTCCGGAGCTGTTCGAAGTCGTTTTCGTGCGGCCTACAGCGAGAGCTCTCAAGGAGCCAGAAGACTTCTGCAAGCGCTCCTCGCGCTCCTCGCTCCTGCCTGCCAGCTGAAACCCTCCAGCGAGCGCAGCATGCTCTCAGCCATAGCGGCATCCGGGATGTCAAGCTGGGAGGGTCGGGATGTTCCGTTCGGGCAGAGTGAGACTGAGTGAAATGTAGGAAAAGCGTGTCGGTTCTGGTTTGGGCACGGCGATGAAGTTCAATCATCCGAAGCCAAGCGGAGCCCAAGCTCGGCGCAACGCCTCAGTCCCACGGCGGCAGCTCCAAGGGTCTTCATGAACTCGGTACAAGTACGCCCAGCATGACAGTGCGGCAGAACCCCACTCCCCTCCAGTCTCCTTTCGGCAATCGGACACAAAGCAGAGCCACAGAGCCCATGTTTCTCCTCGGAAGAATGAATATCTATGTCTCCGCGATGCACTTAGTCTGAATCCAAGGAGGTTCAGGACGGTACCCAGGAGGGCTGCTTGTTGTTCCCGCGCTTGCCGTGTCATCACCTCTGCAAGGAGAGAGATCTCGTGGTTGGGCGATGCCGACATGCTTCCTCAATCCCTCCGACGACGCTCGGGTGCAAGCGCGAGTCGTGTGGCTCGCCTGCTTCTTGGCCGTGGCGTAGACCCTGAGCAAACGGCAGACTGTGAAGCTTTCGGCGTCGCTGCTCCTTGAAGACTTCTTGGGAGCAACCTTCCCAGGACTTGCTGCACCTGCTCCTGCTACGACGGGAACTGTCCAAACGCGGCCATCGCCCAAACGCCATCTTGCAATTGGGAATCCATCCGGCTAGCGTGCGAGTCCTGCGCCATTCTGTCGCACTTCACTGCACCCACCTCAGACTTCGGAACAATTTAAGGGACACTGTGGTCGTGCTGTCGGACTCCGACCTCACGCTGCCAGAGCAGCAGCCACTGCTGAAGAAGAACTTGCTCACGGGCCTTTGCCTAGAGAAACGCACAGAAGGTTCTTGTGAAAAGGCCCAGCAGCCTTCGAACTTGAACAGTCACTCCATGCCGATGTTAGCGATCATGCTTTCGCACACGATGTCGTAAGCACTCTAACCCTCTCAAAATGTCGGACTCTGGGTCCGCACCATGTGATCGACATTGTCTTTCGCCAACGCTTTGCAGCTCGCCTGCCGCATCGTGCAATCGCTTGCATGCTCTGGCGTTCAGTAATATCATTTGCAGATTCCTGTTGTAGGCGGTAATGCGGCCTTCATTCTGAGAAGGTGCCGCTCTGCATCGGCTATCTGCTCCTCGTACATATCTCGCAGCGCTTTGTCTGCCTGAAGCCCGTATGCTTTGCAGGACACTTTCTCTTTCTTCGGTCAGTGGTTCATCCTTTGGCCAGGCCACCTTAGTTTGTTCTAGTGATCCTCGCCACGCAGCAAGGACGGCACAGGCCAGCGACCTTGCCCGAAGCAAAAGCAGGGGGAAGGGCCAAGGCCAAGCTTTTGCTGAGGTGCAGGCCGGCTTGAGGCACAAGCGAAATGTCCTAACACCTGCATCGCGGATTTTGTTTTGCATTGATGCCGCCGAGTCCGACGTCTAGCCGGGCTCATCTCAATGGGCAGAGGCAAGCTTACTTAAACCTACAATATGCCGGAAAGATCAACTTAAGAGTCGAAGAAGATAGCAGCCCAACACCTGGCGAGCGCCTTCTTCACTTTCCCCTTCTGCTGACCTCCAAGGCCTGCCAGCTGGGCCTCCAGACAACCCACGGCCCCAAATTCCCCGACGAGCCCCGAGAAAAAGATCTTTCAGAGCTCCTTTCCTGTGTCATCGAGGGTCGAAAATGCTTCCTCCCTGCTGACTCTGGATAACCTTCGGCAACCAGTGGAAAACAGCATTAGAGGATAAGAAGCGAATTCTATGCAGCACTTCGTGCCATCTCCCAGCAGAGCAAAAGGCTATCACATGAGGTTTTGGTGGTGCGACTGCAGCAGCTCAGTAAAATGCTGACTTGGACAATGCGAGCAAAACATTACCTCATATTGTCTTGTACGAGCCAACAATTGCTTGCCTGCAGCTTCTCCCACACTGGTTCCTCCCGACTCAAGAGTGTCCTAGTCGGCTAGTCTGCATTGCTGGGCATCCGCGTGTCAGTAAGAACCAGGCTAGTGCTCATGTGACAGCTGCTCCTACAATGTGGGAATCAGAGCTACCAATAGTCGAGGATTCGCCTTCGGCGGCCCTGCGACGTTGAAGCAAACGCACCAGGCAAGGCTACAGGCAGCCTTTGCCAGCACAGGGGCCTCACATGCAAAACAGATTTTGAGAGGCAGCGGTTGCCCGGTGACGCAAGAACATGACAAGGACAGATGAAGCCGATCAGGCCTTGAGTCATTGAGAATCTGAAAAAAGGCCTGGACAAGGCAGGCAGACGGAGCAGACGTGAGCAAAATGGAGCCTGGCCTCCGTCACGGCGCTCCGATCACGTCTGGTTTGCATCATGATGCCTCTGTCTGAGCGTTCGTGGCAGAATCTGACTTTTCTCCGATGACAGGAACTCGCCTCTGTCGTCTGCTTCAGCATTTCAGCGCGCCCCACCCAGCCTGGGACAGTGTCGACCTCGCAGCGATGGGCCGTCAATCCAATGAATCTCGACGATGCTTGGCTGATTCAGGCAGGGAGATCAGGTATGGCTGCTACCTCTCTGGTGCATCAGGGCTGGGGTAGTCTTCAGGGGAGCAGCAAAGCAGGGTACAGATGCTCGCGAACTGCATCCGAAGCAAGACGAGCTCTGCAACTGCCACTGGTTTTGTTTCGTGTCTTGAGGCGGTGTTCGTGAAGCTTCACACGCTGTTGGTCCGGGCAGGACGTGCAGAGGCAAGCACGTGAACATGCTTGACACATGTTGCAAGCGGCAACAGTCTTACCTCGTGACATTTCACCCACACGTGTTCAATGTACACAGCCGTCCGTGATCGATGCAAAACTTGTAGATTGCTTACTGCGTCGGTTTTGTAGGAACTGCAGGCCTGCTCGAATCGTCCTGCAGGTTTGGAAGGCTGTTGGTCCGAAGCCTGAACTGGACAACACACAGCGCACTTGCGAACGCTGCCTCTTGATGCCCTCCAGCCTGGAAGAGTTGTTTCGGAAGCCTAGCGTAAATGTCACCTCAGCCGTAAACGCACTCAATAGTCTTGCCCATGTTCCTCGGTCCTCTTCCTTTTAAGATGCACGCTCCGGACATTGGGCGCGGGAATTTGTGGCCATGAGTCTCCTCAAATTTACAGTTTAAACGAGCAGGTCTGGTGCAGCTTGTGCAAAAAGATGGGTTCGAATATCTTTGGGAGCCCCGTCGTTGGCAAGCTTGCTGCCCTCTGAGAAAGTGCAGCCCACCTGATGTTTTGTAAGCATCAGGCCGTCGCTCAAGCCACGTAAGCCACGTGCGGACAGGTTGGCTGGGGCTGCCGCGACGTTGCCTGAAAGCTTGCCAGGGATCAGCCCGCCTTAGGAGCACTATGTTTGGCAGCACAGACAACTCAAAGCCCTTGCCACGATTGCAGCGAAAGGTGCTGTAGCCAGAGCAGGCAGCATAAGCCTGAAGGTGAGTCAGGAAGCTTCCGCGGACGACACGTTCGACACCCGACGGAGTGGTGTGAAAGCAGATCGCGCCGGGTCTGTCACCTTCGCCAAAGCTAAGCTGTACAGCGCCGGGGACGCTTTCTGCATCCCGCCTGGCGCTCCCCAACCCCACTCTGCGCCGGCAGCCCCTCACACCGCCAAGTTCACAAGCTCGGACCGTCTTCGCCAGCTTCTGCACGATGCTCTCGAGTCTAGCGGGCGCAAGTCCTTAGGACTCGTTTGGACACTTCTGGTCCCGCCGGAGGCGACATGGTGTCTAAACACTCGCATGTCTAAGGTGAACTAAACGCTATTAAGAGCCCGCTCTAGCTACTGCTAGTCAGCTTGATTCTCCGGTAGCTGAGAACATATGCATTGTTCAGAATCTGCGTGAAATTCTCACGTCTGGCAAGTGTGGGAGCGATGCTGTCGTCATGCATCATCACTGGTTGCGTTGTGAGCTCCTCAGCAGTTGCAGCATCGGCATATCCATGACAGTAAAGGCACGGTAATAGCCAGTGTGGGCCAAATCTCCGATGTGAACTATTCCTCCGGATTTGTTCTTTCTGGCGACTGGCGGATCTCCATGTACGCCATGTACATTCGGCTCCCTTGGAGGAGGGGCCGATGGAAAGGCTTTTGCGGCAGTCGGAAGGGTTATGAACTGGTTGAGTTGAACACGACTTCTGAGTCTGCGGATCTGCCCTTTTTGAAAAGTGAATCTCGCCAGGCTCAATAGCAGCTGTGCAGGTGGCCTGGTCAGCATGTTACTGCTTTCCCCTTGGTACCACTGCTCGAGTGCACCTTGGACATCCCCAATGCCTTGTATGATGAGGGTAATGTAAGGCCTGGCTGGCGACCTGTCCAGGAGCTCCAGATTGCCACCCTCCCTCATGCGGAAGGTGGCCCATTCGCCTCTGAGGGGCGGACCCACTCGACCTCGGCCAACGTGGTGCAAAAGTTCCGTGACGTCATGTTGCTGTGTTGGTCGAAAGGGACTCGCCACAGTTCAGTCTTGAGCAAATCTATGTTGTTGTGATTGCTTAAGTGAGTGCCTCACCGCCGGTTCGAAGGTGTCGATGCTGCCCTGCTCGCTCGCCTGCAATCGATAGAGTGGCTATTGCATTCAGATAGCACTGATTGCGGCTGTTGTGCAAGCTGGTCTGCAGAATGGGGCTGGGCTCAGCCGCTGGTGGAGCCTGCACGGTGGAATTTGCTCGACATGAACTCGATGGCTGACCTCGCTTGCTTGCTTGCACTGTCTGGTGATACCTTTTTCGGCCTTGGCATCCTCGTCTGCATTAGTCTCCCCTGCCTGGCTTCAGATGCTTGGCCTCGGCCCCCGCTTTGCGTAGTGCCTCCCAGATGTTCGGCACTGTCCCACAAGTCGTCCATTGCAGCCTGGTGTGCCTTCCTTTGTCGGCTCACTTCGAGTGGCCGGTATGTGTTCCGGCTCGCCTGCGGAGGTCGTCCTGGGATGTTTCGGCTCCTCTAAAAAGGCTGCTGGAGCCGATGGCCTTCCCCTCGGCTCCGGGTATCGGCTGCCAGCCTGATTGGACCGCCATCTTATTCATGCTCAATGGCTCTTGCGGATCATCTCTTCCAGTTTTTGCTGGGCTCGATGCGTTCCCGTCTCATGCGTAGGCCAATGAGCTGAGTGACCGACTGTTCCTCGAGCTGGCAGTATTTGTCGTACGGGGTGGACACCTCTGGCCTGAGCGAGAGGGTAAGTAGCATTATAATTACTACCACCTTCGTCTTGTAGTTCTCCTTTAGCTTCTTCAAGGAGTGGAACCTGTGCACCATGCCTGGCTTGATGGCCCAGCGCTATGCTCTGAACCAGGGTTTGAAGGGACGATTCAGCATGACTGGTTGTAGCCGGCTTTCCAGCTGAGGTCGCAGCTGTTTCCACAGCTCCGTGCGCTTCTGCTGCGTGTGCCTTTTCCAGGTCTGAAAGTCCGTGATTTGTTCTCCACCGAGGTAACATGCCTGCGTAAGTGCTTCGACGACTTCATTATGCTGCGCGAGCTCTGGGTCTCGCAGCAAGTCCCAGGCCATCTGGGTTGTGAGTCCCTTGGCTTTGTCTGGCTGCAAGTCCCTGGTGGTCCGGGCTATCACTGGGCATTGTGTGGCATGAGTTACTCCATAGACTGGCTTGCAGCAGTAGGGAGAGGGGTGGTCTCGTATGAGCTTGGCATGAAAGAGCTTTTGCACCATGTCGATGGTGGGATTGCACCAGCGCCATAGCTTGGCATGTGTTCTGAGGATATGTGTCTTAACGGTGTGTTTGTCCAAATCCACTGGTTGCAAACACGCAGTGTCGTTGGAGCTGAGCTGCATGCTGCTCCGCCAGTGTCGGGAGCTTTACCTCTTGTGGCGCCTGTTCGAGCTCATCCTCAGTCAATGAGCATACAGACGTCTCTGAGCCTCCTGACCTTTGGGCCCAATTGGTCTTCTGTACTTCCGGCTCCCATGCGGGGCCGTGCCAGATTTGTCAATTGTCGTGTTCGGCTGGGCCTGCCTGTCAGGATTTGCTGATATATCTGCGCCGCCTCCTCTTCTGTGCCCTGGTCGGGGGGCAGCGTCGATGTGACCGGCGGTTTCATCCTCGGCTGGCCAGGCCCGGCGCCACGCACAGGTGTTGTTCATGATGTGATCTTTGAGCCTCCCATCGAGCTGAGGCGCTTGCCACAGTGTACACACTCTGCATACCATTTTTGGCGTTATGCGCCTGATTGCAGTCGTAGTCCTCACTGGCTGTCACCTTCATGGCATGTTTCCTGGAGAGGTATTGACTCAAGCTTTTTGAGAAGTCGAAGTAGAAACCGCATTCCGGGCACGCGTGCTGGGAAGCTGTGATCCCCGGTGATAGCTCAATGAGGCTGGCTTGTTGTAGTTGCGTCTGCTGCTCATAGTGCTCCGCAAGGGTCCGCCAGTGCTCCTGAATTGTAGGTTGCGCCTCTGGCTACTGCCCTCCATGTGTTGGAGTTTAGCTATTTCCAGCGGTGATCTCCCCAAGTTTGGCATTGCTGAGCTTAGTGATATGCGCTGGTGTGTTTGCGTAACACAGGTTTGCCATACCCTGAGTCTGGTCCTGACATCAATGATGCGTCTGCTTCTGGTCGTTCTCGCCAGCGGCTTGGATCTCCCGTCTGCCTCGCTGTCGCGATGCTTGAGGGCGAGCGTGGCGGAAGAGCGCCTGACGCTGAGTATACGCCACAAATACGGTAGCTCATCTACCATGAGCACCGCATACTGGCCTGCGATTACCCAGCACTTCTGCCCCTTTTGGACAGCGACTTGGCGTTTGTACGCAGCCTTGGCCGCTCTCCCGTGAAGTCTGCACAACACCTTAGACTTCTCGATATTTAGGCCGAGGCCATATTGCTTCAGGAGTGTGAAGAAGCAGGCTACCTGACCATCAAGCCGCTCCAACTGTTCCGGCTGTGTAATCCGGAAGTGTCCTCGCGTATCATCCACATACGCCCTGAATGGCAGCGATGAGAGTGCTCTCCCACCTCATTTGCAAGGTCTCGCAGCAGCTGAGAGGATAGAATGGAGAGCCCAAGGGCCTGGGCTAAGGTGCATCCCTGTCGGATTCCTCCTCTGTCAGTGTTGACCTGGGTGTCTCCACCTCCTGACCTAGGTACTTGGCCGTCTCATGCAGATGCAACACTGCCTCCACCAGGCATGGATCTGCTCCGGACAGTAGGAGGCTTCGTTGAAGCATATGCCCGTCAACCAAGTCGAAGGCTTAGAGAATCAGGCACCCTTGCAGGAGTGGCTGCTGTTTAGCGTCATACGTCCCAACTCCCACCCCGGCACCTTCGGCATATCTGTTGAGCTGTCCTGCCTCCAGTTACTTCAGGGATGCTTCAATGCTTCACCCCAGCGAAGCAGTCAGTCAGGTCCCTCTGTTACAAGAAAGGCAAACTGGGCAACAAGCTTCAAGGTTCGCTTACCTGTGCCATGAGCTGTTGCTTCATGACTGCAGCCATGGCCTTGCCGTCCGCTCTGATGAGCCCTATCGGGCGAAGGATTGGGCGCCTTTGTGGGCTTCGGCAGCAGCTCAAGTTCCGCGTCGGTCCATCCTGATGTTGATTTCGTCTGCGGTGTTGGCGAAGCATTGTCCAGCTTGAGGAACCCAGGTTTTTGGCTATTGCAGCCGGGTCAGTTGGCAGCGCAATGACTCCTGTCCGCTGTCGTGCTCTCGGCTCTAGCGTAGATGGTAAGTACTTGACTAGGGCCTGATGCTCTTCTTGAAAAGTGAGGAGTTGTCCTTGAGAGCCGCGCAATTGCATGCGTTTCCTAGGCTGCCACGGCATGAGTGCTCGATCGACTTTGTACAGCCTGATTGGCTACCTCTTTTGTTGCATAGCTCGGCTTCTTGCAATTGTCTTTGAGTGTAGTCTCGGCTCCTCTGAAGGCAGCGAGCTCTGCTGGCTTTCACCTAGCTATTGTCTATTGTATACAGTCCAGAGCCGACACAGCTTGAGACGTTGGCTTTGGATGGCACGACGCGCCGTTGGTTCGTTGGTTGGCCGACGGTGCTTCGTCGGCTTGGCCGGTCGACGCCGGTAGCGCCGACTGCTGCCCTGCTGTCTTCGGACCCGACCCCGTCGGAAGCCCACCCGGTGCCGCGAGGTAGGCCGAGGTGCATGTCCGCGCGCTCCGGGTACGGGCCCACCGGTCCTGCACCACCAGTTACAACTGAGGATACAGCCGGGGTCCTCAACGTAGATCTCTCCTTCGCCTCCGCCGCCGCGGCCACGGCCACAGCGCCAGGCGACGAGTTGATCGCCCTCACGAGCGCCCACTGGTCGAAGTAGGCCGGGACGTCCTCGCCGGCTGCTGCCACCGCAGCGGAGGACGTCGGCCGCCGCCATGACTTCTGCCGTCGAAAAGGTCGACATAGCGGCAAGGAGAGAATCTACAAGGAGCTGAAATCGTCGGGGCGACGCAGGGCCAGCGGTAGCTGCGGCACATGCGTCGTCCGACGAACTTGTCCCTGCACACATGTGTTACACCACAACTTGCCAATGCATGCAAACCGAACCCTCTGAGCCAGATGCCCTTCCCATGCTTGGCGTTTCGGTCTGTGTTTGAAACTTGGCCCGCTCCTCGCAACAAGCCCCTTCACTGTCCAGATCTGTCCAGCAGTCCGCTGAGCATCCAGAAGGCCTGCGCCTTCTTCCGCATGGAGTCATAGTGGAGCTCCATCAGGCCCCTTGACCTCTGCATTCAGAAATCTCTGGTAGGCTGCATTCAGCAAGACTTCCAGCCGAGGGTCGTCCCCAGTGACTTCTGGTGCCTGGAAGGTGACAAAGAAGGGCCATTCAAGTACCTCTTCATTCCCAAAGCGGAGTCGCATCAAACACCGAAAAGTTCCTACCCGCAAAGACTGTTCCTGCGCACTCTTCGAAGACACCCTCCGTGTCCTCCCACAGCGTAGGATAGCGCTGCAACCTGCAAGGATTTTCAGTGCAGGAACGCTCGTCACGGCCTTCAACAGTTTACGGCTGCTGAGCCAGGCGACTCACCGACCCCTGACCAGAACTTGCCTTTTGGGCAGCCGTACCTCTCGCGACGAGAAACGCTCGCTCCCCTCTCAGCCTAATCCCACCGAAAGGGGCACGTTCTTGGAGGAATGGCCAGCGAACAGGATGCACGATTTGCTGTCATTGGAGATGCCACCCACCTGAGACGTCTGAACACTGTCACTGTTCATTGTTTCAAACGGTATTGATGGTTGATGCCCACTGACCGAGCTTGGGACCAGTCGCTGTCGAAGCTGAACTAAACTACACGCCGCTCAGAGTCTCTTGAGCCACATCTAGAAACTCCGCAGCCAACTTCTTGCCAGGATGATTCATGGAGCACTCTCTAAACTGCCGTGATGTTCTACCAAGCCAGGCACAGGCTGCCTCCACCACCAAAAGCTGCTGCTGCGCAGCGTCCGCTATCTCTGCAGCTCGCATTAGCCGGTCGAGTCGTGTCTCCATGTTGCCAACCCACCTTAGCTCCGACAAGGCCACTAGCCGGTATTGTGATCCAAGCAGCACGGTGTACTCTTCATCCTGAGCCTGGAGCGTGTCTTGGCATCTGTGCAGGTGAGCCACCTCGCTGTCAAAAAAACAGCAAGCTGCAAACCTGGACACTTCGCCGTAAGGCTGCTGCTTCGTTGCTGGTTACAAGCACAGCGTACTTGAGAACTTGTTCGCAGATCTGCGTCTCGTCCGCGCTTAGAAACTGGTAAATGTCCTGCGGGTCATCAGGGCAAACTGCCTTTATGAGTGCCATACGATACTCAACAGTTGATGAACTTGCAATGGTCCCCTGATAACCTACTCGGTTGGTTTGCGCTGAATCTGATGTCGAGCATTGGTGACACCGGGATTATGAATACGAAAGTTCAGTTTCGAATCGACCCAAGTCTGTGTATACTTGTGTTTTTTTTCAAAGGATGGTTGTAGAATTGTACGTGGATGCGTCTTCACCACATATCCTCATTTCAAGCTCATGCCTTCGTAACCAGTACGGAAGGGGCGCATGCCACGAGAGCTGCTGCGACAGAAGGCCCGAATTTTCGCGTTTCAAGTTGTACGAGGCCTCTGTGCGTTACTGTTGCCGTTACCATTGCCACTACCACTACAACTACCATGACGATCACCAGCACTACGACCATCATGACCTTTACCACAACCATGATGATGACCAATGCCAAAACCAATTACGTCGCAGTCGCAGTATCAGTCATAGTCATAGCCATAGACATAGAAATAGTCATAGTCATAGTCGTAGCCGTAGTCCTAATCCTAGTCCTAGGACTGGGATAGGGACAGCGATTTCAACAGCGTCAGCAACAGGAATAGGAATAGGAAAAGGAAAAGGAATAACAATACTCTGTACCTGCTACAGCTACTGCTACTGCTGCTGCTACTCCTACCCCTGCCCCTACCCCCACTCCGACTCCGAGTCCGACTCCTACTCCTATCACTCCGACTCCTACTCCTACTCCTAGTACTGCTACTAATGCTGCTACTACTGCTACTACTACTGCTGCTGCTGCGACTCCTCCTACTCCTACTCCTACTCCTACTCCTACTCCTACTCCTACTACTACTACTACTACCTCTACTACTACTACTGCTACTACTACTACTACTACTACTACTCCTGCTGCTGCTGCTACTACTACTAACTATAACTATAGCTATAACTACAGCTATAGCTATAGCTATACCTATAACTATAACTATAGGTATAAGTATAAGTATAACTATAACTGCTACTACTACTACTACTACTACTACTACTATCCTTGTCCGGTTGCGGCGGCCTATATTGGGGGGGTTTAGATTATGGAGAGTTTAACAGTAAAGGCCCAAAACCTTATTTTTGTATGTCGTTGTCTTTATTTGTCTTTATTTGTCTTTGTTTG